TTATTAGATTAATAAAGTCCTTATAAAAGCAGCCCTGAATTACACTAAAATATCTATAAATGCAAAATACCAACAAACTAAAAATTAAACTATGGAATTACATGCAAGTAACACCGGCGTATACAAAGGGATTTGGCTTCTCTCCCAATTAGTTTTCTCTGCTGCAGTTGCCTAAATCATAATGGGAAAAAAACTTCACAGTTTCTGAGAGAGATTTTAAAGCAGAGATGATTCAAGATGGGTGAGCATGTTCTAAAAAAAGAAAATGAGGTTGACCTAGCTCTTGTAAACCCTGGTAAAAAGGTAAGGACCTCAAACATTTTTGCACAATAACACAATATATTATTTATAGTGCCAAAGAAACGCACACAGTAGAATGCTAAATCAGAAAAAATAACACAATTTTTTAATTATAAAGCTAATTTTTCAATGTTATTGAGTAAGATGATGTGTAGAAAATAACCAATACTCTTCTGTAATTAAAAAATGATAGCTTGCTCCTCTAGTTTTTTTAAATGTCTTCAACTTTTTTCATAGCCTATCAAGCTGTAGGTTCTTGTGTAAAATAATATAGTACATTTCCATTCTAGAAAAATATTGTTGATTAAGGCCTCATGCACATTGAAAATGTACCCAGCTCTTCTGAATGCCTTTTCTCCTGGCAGGAGAAAAGCAGCATAAAAACACACCTAAAGCCGCATTTTACAAATGTGTTTAGGTGCGTCAAACATTCAGGCATTCACTCATTGGTTGGAATAGTAACTGATTGAGACCATTGAAACACACTTAGCATTTGGCGCATTTAGACGTGTTTAGGCGAGTTTAGGTGTGTTGGGCTTTTTTTTTTTCTGCTGAACGCACAAGTGATGTTTTTTTTTCTACCTCTAAATACTCCTGCCTCGAAAGACTACCTGTGAACACAGACCCCTTTTGCTCTTCTCCATCTACACCTCCTCCCTTGGCCAACTGATACACTCCCACGGCTTCAAACTACCAATCTCTATGCCGATGACACTCAGTGCTCCTAACCTCCTTGATCAAATCTATCTCTCTACCCCTCACCCCCTCAGTCCTCCGTGTTACCGAATCACTAGCCTTCTGAACGACATATCAGACTGGATGTCACTCCACTTCCCCCTCAAATTAAACCTTTCCAAAACCGAGCTCCTAGTTTTCCCCGTGCCCCCCCCCCCCCCGACCTCTCCATCACGACCAACAACGCCACCATCTGCCCCACCCCACAAGCCAGAGTACTAGGTGTCATTCTAGACTCCGATCTGTCTTTCCAGCCCCACGTCCAATTGCTGACAAACTCATGTAGACTCCACCTCCGCAACATCTCCAAAATACGTCCGTTCTTAACCCCGGAAACCACTAAGCAACTCATTCACTCCCTTATTATATCACGACTTGACTACTGTAACTCCCTCCTCATCGGCCTACCTCAACACAGGCTATCCCCACTTCAGTCTATCCTGAATTCTGCGGCCAGACTCATCCACCTTACTAACCGCTCCGTATCCCCCACCCCCCTCTGCCAATCCCTCCACTGGCTTCCGATTGCCCAAGGCATAAAATTCAAATTACTAACATTGACGTACAAAGCTGTTCATAACACTGCCCCAAACTACATCACCGACCTGATAACGTACTCTCCGCTCCTCACAAGACCTCCTACTCTCTAGTTCCCTGGTCTCCTCCTCCCATGCCCTTCTCCAGGACTTCTCCAGAGCTTCCCCCATCCTCTGGAACTCACTACCCCAATCCATCAGACTGTCACCTACCCTCCTCACCTTTAGGCGCACCCGGAAAACCCATCTCTTCAGGGAAGCCTACCCCGCCCCCACTTAATTGACGATCTCCTCCACTCTTCCTACCACTCCATCCCCCACAGCTATTTCCTCCTGTACCACTACCCCCCTCCCCTCCTAGATTGTAAGCTCCAAGGAGCAGGGCCCTCGAACCCCTCGTGTATTGTATTGTATTGTTACTGTGCTGTCTCGTGTACTGTCTCCCATTATATTGTACAGCGCTTAGCAAACTGTTGGCGCTATATAAATACTGTATAATAATAATAATAATAATAATTACCTTTGATACTGTACCTTGAGACACAGCAAATAAATTTCCAACTTCAGTCACAGAGAGCTAAGCGGGTGCCAACTATTTGCCCTCTTTGAAGCTCAGTAAGCTCTGACATGACTACGTATTACTAGCAGCGCATGCAGTGCATGATGAAAGTGAGGCCTCCCACCAGTTAGATAGGTGTCTCATCACACAGCGGAAACAAAAGAGTGTTCCATCACTTCCACTTTCAACACAAAACATGTCATCACTTTCACATCTGCAAAACATGGAGGTTTTCCATATTTTTGTCCAACCCCTGTATATATTAAGGTCTGTACAGTCAGTGGTTTTGAGTGTCTGTGGATAAAAAAGAATCTGTAATGGTTTGGGGGTCAGTTTTTGTATTGTTACAGCTGCTGTAAAGGTTTAATAAAAAGGATACCTGCAAACAAAAACTCCTGCTATTTACCTCTCTGGCAGACAATGAAGCCTCACATTATTTTGTAAAATCCACCAACAGAATCTTCCAGTATCCAAGACTTCTATGAGTATCGGATGCATTCAGCCCCTGCCATATTCTGTGTTTCTATTTCCTGGCCCCTACATCACTATAGGACACAGTACTGGCACATGGGTACGATGCATCACATTAGGGGACCAGCCATTCAACACAGCCAAACATGTCAAGATACTTAAGATTCTGTTGGGGTATGCAGTTTGTGAAGAAAATGAAGTGAAACTTGCCATCCACCAGAAAGGTAAGTATTAAAGTGTTACTAAACCCACAACAGTAAAATCAGTCTGTATGTTCAGTAAAGCATGCTTGCTATGCTCACTGTGGAACCTAAGGGGTTAATCCTCAGCATTGTGTGAAAAAGGCTGTTTGATCCTTTCTTCTCTGATCCTCCCCTTCTACTATCCCCATTCCATCTGCTGATAATACAGAGCTCTAGGAGTCACTCTGCACATGCTCAGTTTAGTGTGTGTGGCTACAGCATTTTTTTTTCTTTGGGAGAGTGGATGTGATCAGCACAGGGCTAATCAGCGCTGTCCAGACAGAGAGTCAGGGGTTATGCAGCCTCATAGGACAGTCAAAGAAGAATGAAAACTCCTCCTACAAGCTCTAACCAGTGCTCTGCTGGACACTGATCGAAGTCACAAGACTGCTCTGCTGATGAAAAAAGGTATTTAGCAGTTTATATTTACTAAAATGATTGCATTTCCATGTTCTGTGTACTGCGGGAGACCAAATATAATAAATGCAGGGTCCTTAGTACAGTAACATTTTAATCTTCTTTTGCAGATTTCTTTTCCAAGAGACGCTTGCAGTGAATACATTCTTTAGACTGATTTTTCATATATTTTTATTTGTTTATATAAAATCTTTCTTTTAAACATTTCATTTAGAGTGCACCCATGATGCTGATTTTGCATATCCATTTTTTGTTTTCTAAAGAGAACACAGCAGCAGCTTTTCCCTGTGACTGTTTCTCTTTATCTGAAGCTCTATATGGTGCAGTCTGAACAGAGCAGACAGAAAGGCAGAGTAGGGGGGGTTTGTCACTGTAGCCAAATCAGCTATGTGTGTTATTGAAGCTTCAGCTCTTCAAAAGTAGAAAAAATGCTCTAAATAAAATAAAGGGATAGAAAAATATACGCCTGTAGATTTAGTATAAAGATAAATACATATATAGGTGGATACAGTTATATAAAAACATCATCATCCATTCCATTGAAGCGCCATATCTGTATTTGAAGTCTGATGCTCTCCTGATGGGTAGAGCTATGAACAGGAAGTGAACTGTAGTGTAAAATATGGGCAGATGCTGCATTTTGCATTCAATTTAATGAGCATTAATGCACACTGAGCATTCTGCAAGTGTGATGAATATGTGCAGGACGCTTTGACAGCTGTGTGTATAGTGCTATAGAGGTGTAATGGAGCAGCGAAAATGATTTTTTCTTTTGTCTGCTTCTTTTTAATTGCACTATATTCGTACTCAGAGCTGCTGACCTATGTTGCACCGTGCTGCATAATCCAGGCACAGATACTGATGCTTAAAACAGAACCCCAGCCCAAAACAAGATAAAAATGAATAGCCCATTATAATATAGCTTAACATAATATAACAAAGCCAGCTTTTGCTACATCATTCACTTTCAATCTGAAGATTCCCCCTGCAGTACTTTTTTTTCTGCCACTAGATGTTATCACAGGGCTCTTTTAATGGATGAGTACCTCTGGACACAGTCCAAGGGCCCCAGGTGCAAGTGCGCCCCATGATAATCTTGCATTACAGCATACTTGTAAATTGTCCCGGATCTGCTGGGACAGTCACGCTTTTTACTAAGCTGTCCCAGGATGGCGTGAACCAGTACCGTACCCTTCTGCCACCCCATTACTGTGCCCTTTGTGTTGATTAGTCTTTGATTTATTTGGATTGGGATGTTTTCTTATTGTTTAACCACTTGCCCTCCTGAAGATTTATCCCCCTTCCTGACCAGGCCATTTTTTATGCTACAGTGCTGAGTTACTATAACTGACAGTTGCACAGTCATGCAGCACTGCACTCAAACACAAATGATGTCCTTTTTTTCCCCCATGAATTGAGCTTTTTTTGGTGGTATTTGATCACCTGTGAGTTTTTTATTTTTTCTGCTATAAAAAAAAGACATACAATTTGCAGAAAAAAACAATATTTTGGACTTTTTGCTTTTAAAACATGTCCAGTAAAAAAAATGTAAAAAAAGCTAATTTTGTCATAAATTTATGGCCAAAATGTATTGTGCTACGTCTTTGCTAAAAACAAAAATCCCAATACATGTAAATTAATTGGTTTATGTGAAAGTTTTAGCGTTTACAAATGGCGGTATATATACTGGTTTTTTTTTTTTACTAGTAATGGAGGTGATTAGCGACTTATAGCGGGACTGTGGGACTGCGGCGTGCATTCTGACACTGGAGGGAACTAACTTGGGGTCACTGACATCCCCAGTAACACCAATACAGTGATCAGTGCTAATAAAAAGCACTGACACTGTACTAATGGCACTGGGCAGGAAGGGGTTAACATATGGGGTGATCAAAGGCTTAACAGTGTGCTGTTTTACTATAAGTTATCTCCGTATGCTTCACTGTAAGCACACTGCTTTGCATGGCTGTGTTGTGCACAGCCATCCAAAGCAGTGTGCACGAGCCGACAGGTAGGAGAACTTTTTTGTTTACAGTCGGAGATGCTCGACAATCACCGGGTGCAGGCAAGTAATCACAGGGTGCCAGCGAGTAATTACCAGCTGGGACCCGGTGATTGACAGCTGCGGCCGGGAATAGTGGCAAGAGTAGGGCACGCGCTCTCCCTATCCAGAAATGCAAAATCACGTATATATACGTGATTTTGTGCACCCGTGCCGCCCTGTTGGTCGGTTGGTAACAGTTAAAATCAATTTTATTGAAAAAGCACTAATAAATATATGTTTTCATTCTATCAACTATTTATACTTTAATTTTTGAGAGTAGTTGTGTAAATTTGAGGCAGGCTGGTAGGGGCTTCAGAGCATTACTTTGCCCAGGGGCCCGTGATGCTATTAAGCCCTGTGTCATCAGCTCGATGGCCAACATAGTTCAACGCTCTTTCTTTAAGCCTAGGTCATCCTGGACCTGCTCCAGCCTGTGACTGGGCAGTGAAAGGGCATCTCTTTATCTCTGCTTTCTTCTCCTGTCGGCTTGCTGGTTGTTATCAGGTGAACTTTTGGTCTCCTTGTACTGCTAATTCCTCTCATACTTAAGCGCTGCTAAACAGGGACTGCAAAAGGCTGATACCAGGTCAGATTTAGGTACTTACACTGCTAAACTTACTGATGTATTAATAAAGATAGAGTTGCATTACTAGTCATTTATAGCTGCCTGGAGTTCATCTGTAGGCCATATGCTCACGGGCATACAAAACAGCTCTTTTACAGGCATACAGCACAGTTTTTTGTGCCTCTATATGAAGTTATATGTTAGCGTATCTGGCCATGAAAATCAGGTGTTTAGATCAGTATTTCAGTAGATCAGCATTCAGAGGTATTTAAAAAAAAAACGCACCAAAGCTGCATTCAAAGAGTTTATGAACATAATTTACGAGCTTATGTGCATAAACAAGCATGTATAAGCATAAATGTAAAAGTTAATATAATTTAATAATAATAATAATTTAATATAAAAGTTTTAATGATCAGAATAAATTCATATTCCGACCAGTAGAATGTGCTTACGCTCAATGCCATATCCGCATCAACATGCATACATACGCGCATAAACTCAGGTACATACATGACATTAGGGGCATTTTTCTCTAGCGAGTTCTGGCAGAAAAAATCCAGCCTATTTGGAGCATAAATTCATACACCCGTGAGCTTTAAATGGGTGAAATGCAATACAGCCAGCAGAATGATGCTATGCAGATTGCAACATTTCTATGGTAGCAGAAATAAAATAAACATTTCCTTGTGAATAATAAGTGTCACTTTTAAAACAGATGGCAATGGTTTATAGATTGTGCAGGTTCATTTGGTAAACTATCAGCTGTAACCAAGCAACATACATAATCTAAGTATTTTGCAATGAATTTGTACCATACATCTTTTATTGCTGGATAAAGTGTAGCGTTCTGTGCAAGTTACACTATAGGCTGCAAAATCCTGATAATTATTATTCATAATAATAATATTATACTGTATATTTGTGTTTTGTGTGCATTTTTGTGTGTGTACGTTACAGATGACTGTACAAGTAGAGAAACTTAAATGAGAACTTTGATATTATGTAGGAATGGAGTGCTGATCACTTAAAAACTGTTGCAAAAAAGGTGCTGTGTGATACCTGAATTGAGCACCCATTTGATATTATTATTATTATTATACAGGATTTTTTATATAGCGCCAACAGTTTGCTCAGCGCTTTACAATATAATGGGAGACAATACAGCAACAATACAGTTCAATACAAGAGGGATAGGAGGGCCCTGCTCCTTGGAGCTTACAATCTAGGAGGGAATAATGTTGCCTGCTTGTATATAAAATGGATTGTTTGCCCACAAAGGGCACATAAGTGGAAAAGACCATGCCAGCAGCAGCCTACTATTCCTTCCTGTCATGGCTGCAAGTAGAGCCATTGTCAAAGGCAAAATTCTAACGATTCTAATGTTGCATTGAGTAAATACAGTAGACACCAAACATACCAAACCCCAAAACTGCATGAAATGGCAACAACCTTAAATTGTCCATAGGTGATGTTTTAAAAGCCTTTACATTTTATCAGTTTAGCATTAAGTGTGAATGATGGGACTAGAATTTGTTGTTCACTCTCTGAGGTCTGCCACATGTGTGGTTGTATGGTGCAATCCCTGTTGGCATACAAACACAGGACCTACATGCGTGATTGTATTTGTGTGTATGTGCGGGGTGGGTAATTTTTTTGTTTTTATTTACTTTATTAAAAATACACCTTTTTATTTTTTTTTTCATTTACCTTTATTGCCATCACAAGGGGGCTAGAATTTCCCCTATGTGATAGCTTTGGACAGGTGACAGGTACTCTTTATGGAGACATCAGGGGTCTATTAGTCCCAAATGTCTCATCTGCTCTCCAAAGCAGATAATAAAGCAGAAATTGTGCTTGATTAGCTGCTTTCCTTGCTGTAGTGGCAAGAGAATGAGAGCTTTTAAACTAAGAGTAATTAAATTATCATTGCTTCTGGCTTCATTAGGTTCAGAGGAGAATGGTAGCACAGATGTTCCTCCATCTCTTCTGTGATGGCAGCAGCAGAAGGGGGTGCAGCATGCTCAGCACCATAAAAGTAATAAGGTGGCTGCAATGCCGCCCAGATCACTTTTACTGAAAAATGAAACCAAGCTCTTGGATGCAGCTGCAGCTATGAGCCTGGTATAACCACTTGCTCACAGGCTGTATATATATAGTATGTACAGCAGTCAGCAGTGGTTACTGGTATCAAGTCAAAGTACCCCTACTAAGCAAAAATCTTTACTGTAAATAAATAAGTCCAATCTTGCCTAAAGATGCTCACACTTTATGTGTCATCAAGCCAAAATCTGTACCATCACCACAAGAGCCTGCATACAGGAGGAGCCATGCACAGCCAGTATGATCCTGTCAGACTTAATTCATAAAGCCATTATAACAAGCACAATAAAAGGAATTATGACTTACCTGTAGATTCCATATCATGGGGTACAGTACAGGACACAGGCAACATATCCACGTGAGTCCTCAGTTTTGTAGCAATCAAAAGACAAAATAAAGAAAGGGAGGGCAGTCTGTATCCTATACTGTTCTCCAAGATATGGAATATACAGTTAAGTTAAAGTTGTTTTGTCTTAATCATACAGGACACTGCCAACAGACCCAAACAGGGGTCAAAAAAAGCCCAAGTTCAGAGTGCCACTGCAAGAACCTTGCAGCCAAAAGCTGAATCTGCAGATTGGATAACTGTCTGGAAAAACTTTGAGAAAGAATGAACAGAAGACCAGGTGGTGGCTCTACACAGTTGAGCTACAGAGGTTTGGTGCAGAAAAAAACTCAGGAAACCCCTACAGATCTGATTCAGTGAGTGTGCAAAAGCGCAGAAGCAGGTTTTTGCTTAAACGTACAACCTCTTGCAATCAAGTAGGGTGGAATGGTGGAAGTAGGGTGCCCCTCTTAATGTCCCAAGGAGAGAACACACAGCAAATCCATGTGTCTGATGGGAGCACTAGCCTTTAGGTATACTCTAATGGCTCTGCCTACATCTAAATGATAGAGACAATTCCTTTGGATGCTTAGGAGAAGGGTACAAGGATGGCAGAACCAAGTCCTCGTTAAGGTGGAATGTTAAAGTCACCATTGGAAGAAAGGATGGTCTTGGATGTAAGATAATTTTGTCTTTCTGAATTAGGAAGAAAGGCTTTTTGCAGAAAAAGGCCACTGGTTCAGAAACACGCCTCACAGATGTAATGTCTACTCAAAAGTATACTTTACACACAAGTGCTCTCTGGGAGTATGTCTCTGAAGGGTTCAAAGGGTTGTTTCTGCAAGGCTGAGATAACCAAATTAATGTCACAGGGAAGCATGGGGTGCTGCAAGGGGGGCCTGATACGAGAAACACCTCAATGTAAAAAATTATATCCAAGTTTACCATCCCTTTAAATAGAACTATTTACTGCAGTAACAGGTGCTATTGCTGGATGTGTTATATTAACTGTATGCAGTCTCAGCTACATACAGTCATGGCCAAAGGTATTGGCACCCCTGCATTTCTGGCAGATAATGCACCACTCATCCAGAAAATTGCTGCAATTACAAATGTTTAGGCATTCTCTTGTTTATTGCTTTTGCTTGTATTGGAATGGTGCAAAAAAGTGGAGAAAAAAAAGGCAAATCTGTCACATTCCATGCAAAACCTCAAAAATGGAGTGGACACAAATTATTGACACCTTCTCAAAATTGTAAGAAATAATTGCATTCAAAGTTTGTGATGCTCCTCTAATTTGTAATTAAAGTAAATTAAATTAATGTTCCTGTGTCTACTGTGTGCAACATTGTCAAGAAGTTTACAGCCCATGGCACTGTAGCTAATCTCCCTGGATGTGGATGAAAGAGAAAATCTTGATCAAATATTGCAACAAAGGATTGTTCAAATGGTGGATAAAGAAATTTGATCAATTCCAGACAAATTCAAGCTGACCTTCAGGCACAGGGTACAACTATGTCAGCTCGCACTATACGTCGCTGTGACAGAAATATCTATCAACAATCTCCCTCAAGAAATCTGTGAAGATAGATGAATTCCACTTTTTCAGACTGTTGGAATATTGTATTGAGTTTTGTCTTATGATGGACAGACATAAGTGAAAGCAAACACCTGAAAGACAGCATGTGTAATGGACTTGGTGTATAGAGGGTTGGAAGTGCTGGGCTATCTCTGGGGTGGGCTCCCCGGCTTTTCTGGATGCTTGGCTGTTATTTTTTCCAAGGGCTGCGTCATCGAATATTAATATGAAGGTGCCAATAATTTCATCTAGTTCATTTTTTAGGTTATGCATGGAATGTGTCAGATTTGGCTTTTTGTTTCTCCTTTTTTTTTGTGTCATACCAATACATACCAATACAAACAAAAGAAATAAACGTGAGAAAGCCTAAACATTTGTGATTGCAACAATTTTCTGGGTGAAGTGGTGTATTATCTGACAGAAATGCAGGGGTGCCAATATTTTGCCCATGACTGTATAGTATACATCAGTGTGTTCCAGCAGTGGGACAAGAACGTCCTGTCCCACTGCCGGAACAAATAGAGTTGAGCTGAGTTATTCAGCTATTCATAGGAAGTTTTGTATTCTAT